TTACCATCCTTGGACTAAAGCCCCAAACCAGGAAAATTACACGGGGAGGACAATTACACGGGGGAAGACCTTTTGTAGTCTCAAGGCTAAATTCCCGGTCAAGACCTTGCATGCACTGTTAAAGAGACCGATCGACCTAATTCAATTTCTCGGCCTCTTCCACTTTCAGGACCACGGTTTGAAAGGTAGCATTGAGGACCCTATTGACAATCCCCCTATGGAAGAACTCAGCAAAGAAAGCACGAATATCAGGGGCAAGGTGGACCCAAAAAGTTTGGAATAGAGTGACTGGGAAGTCATCAGGCCCGGGAGCCTTATCTTGGCAAAGTTCATTGACAGCTTTCACAATCTCATCTACCGAAAAAGGTTATCCAAGCCAATCGGCCACATCATTAAGGAGGGAGAGGAAGGAGAGGTTGTTGATTTTCGGCCTCTGCATAGACTTGGCTTTCAAGAGCCTCCTGAAGTCCTTGACGATTTTCCTTTCGATATAGAAAGGCTCTGTGTAGAAATTTTTCCCCTTCTTTGATATGATAGATTGGGTTGGATCTTCTACAGAAACTAGCTGTTTTATGGAAAAAGCAATTTTTCTGCATCCATGTTTGAGCCAGATGAGTCTAGACCTTTGATTGCCATAGGCTTCTTCTCGTTTCAGCAGGATACAACATTCTGATTTGGCCTTGATGCCATCATCCCTTTCAAATGGAGGGAGGACTCTAGAACCTTCTAAAAGATCTAAGGCTGAGTATAACATGTAGCTCGACTTCCTTTTTCTCTTTTTTCTCTCTAAAATTTCTTGGGTTCTGTTGGCTCCATAGTTTCAGGCCAACTTTTGAGTAACATTAGCTTTTTACTACGGTTAGAGCCAACCCATCTAATAACCTGAAAGGACAACAACTAATTTGGGTTTTAGACAGTGTAATTCAGGATCTTCTAGCAGCCAAATTTTGAAGCATGACGTTTGGGGCAAGAGGAAGACCCCGAGGGGGGGGGGGGGCGGGGGGGGTTCTAGGACAACACCAACGTCTGAGATAAGTTTAAGAAAAGATCTTGTGTGCACCAGTGAAAGAGGTCTTCCCAGGGGGGGGGACCTCTAGGACAACAGCAACGTCTGAGATAAGTTTAAGAAAAGATCTCGTGTGCACCAGTGAAAGAGGTCTTCCCATTCAGGAGATATCAAGAACTAACACTGTCTGATGGTAGGGTTGTCTGTGTGGTTAGAACACATATGAAACAAGTAGTGGGAGGTCTATCAGTTTGTTAAAGAGAATAAGCTCAGAAAACCCCTCCATGCGTGTGTGCTGTGTCCCACTCTGTTTTTCAGCAAACAACTATTGGGACATTAATTCAAAAATAAAAAACAATAATTAAAACTATAACTCTGATTTTTGCAAAAATGAAGAATCCAGAGTCATAGTTGCAGCAGAAGCCGCCATCCAACAAAACAGTTTATGGCGCTTCATCGTCGTTGTAGAAAAGAGTCTACAAGAGTGGCCCCATTCATATAAAATTTGCCCATGAGGATTTGTAATCCTAGCCCTAGGATTAACCAGAGTGTAATTCCACAGAGATTTGAAGACCAGTCCATGACGACTCCTAAAACTTCATGTGCCGTTAATTGAGACATTTATTAGTTTCATTTGTAATTGGAACTATAGTTACCGGAAGCACCCATGTAGGGGTTCCGCTTCTGCCCCAGAATCTCGATCCCACGCTCCAAGTGACCGGATCTCGATTCCAGGCGCTTCCTTGCTTATTCGGATCTCGTATCCGGAGTTATGGGAACTTGATTCCTATTATTTGGGAACAAGATAACTAGCAAGCGGGATCCAGATTCGCATGCCCAATATCATTTGGAACAACGATTACATCATACCAAGAACCAAGTATCCTATCCCATGGGAGCGAGATATAAAGTTTACTTTATTCGTATATAGTTGTATCCAATTTTAAAGAAAGGCAACTAGAGAAGGTATAAGATTGGAAGGAGGTTCAAAAGTTAGCCACATTGCAATTTTATTGTGAAGTGAGGTCACGATCAATACACTTCATTACGACACTTTTATTGTGAAGTGAGGTCACGATCAATACACTTCATTACGATAAAAAGGATGTGTTACACAATCTGTTGATGTGTTGCACAATTGGTTAATGGTGCATTTCTATCGAAAAAAGGTAATATTATGTACAAGTCTCTGAGTACAGTTGGAATGGGTTGCACATTGTAAACTATAATTGTTTTGTAATACTGAACTGATCATGTTGTGTCTGTGTACCATCGTTATGTGGACGTTTATCAGCTCGAGTGAGATATGAACAAGTGATAGTGGGTGTATGGCCATTGATTGTGGCACGTACACTGTTCATGCAGAAAGAAAACGAATCCAAATAATGTTAAAGGACCTACAGCCTCGAACTCTAAGAAATCACACCATCTTAAATACTCAATGACTTTTCTCACCATCTTCTAAAGTTAGTCACTTTAATCCTATAGGCAAAGAAGGGGTAAAAGAGAAAAAAAATTCAACCATATTTTTCATAATCATGTTTGGGATCACATTCTTGGGCATTAGGGTTCATTAGAACACAGCCTTGGTAGAAAAGATGCATAACCCATAGTACTTCACTCCTCTATCAATTACCCCGCTTTTTCACCCACTCCCTCTATCCACCCAAGAGCTCATTAGTAACATACCAAAAAAAAGGAACTCGCTCCCAGTTTGCTATATACTTGACGCAATCCGGAAACCCCGATCCTAAGAACGGCACAATGCAATCCCTTATGATAGGGAACCTGCTCTCGTCCATATAGAAATGCACTCCCTAGAAATCATGGAACTCGTTCGCTTCCCCAAACCATGTACGGAGCTCGCTCTACTGTCCTGGGAACTTCGAGATAGACTCGCTCCGCGCTCCCGTTTCCATTCCCGGAACTCCTCACATTCCCATTCCTAGTAACTATATTTGGAACCATAAACACATGTCCATAGCATTTCCTTAAAAGATTAGCACAGTTCCACTAACAAAAAACTGCATACCCTCAATCTAGCCAATAAGAATCTGCAGAAGAACTTCTATGTTAAGAAAAATGGTCAAATTTCCATGTCTCCAAATGATATGGACTACTCTGAAATTGCAGACAGGCTTTCTCAATACACCATAGCTAAACTAAATGAACAGACAAACTAAATCTAATACAAGTGGTATTGTGCTCATGTGAAAAGTACGCTCTTCTTATGCATATATTGAGTATCATATCCTGCTTTCTATATGCATTGGTGAAGATTCTTTCCACAGCTTAAGGTTTCATTACTCAATGATTATAATCTCTTCTCTTATTAGTCGTAGGAGCAAAGGCACACAGGGGGATAGG